GGGGGCAACTCGTTTGCACTCTGTGTTTCGGAAACTGATCGAGGCACTAACTTGTCCTCAAGGGCATGTGCCCTGAAAATACCTTCTCAAGTGAAAATCCATCAGGGTGGATATAACCCTGACTTAAATGTTTGTGTTTATACACAGGGTCAGAGTGCCCGCTGGGTCACTGTGCAAATGCCAGGAAGTCCTGCTCTGGGCACGAGGTTACCTTCCCGGCCAGGCCCTGGCTCCTGACGGGTGGGGAAGGAAGCTGTAGCCTCTGCCCAGTGTTCCCACCTCCGGAGCAGCCCCCTCCTGTCCCCTTCAGCCTGTCGCTCAAGCAGAGCGCATTCTGGGAGGGCTGTCCAAGGTCCAAGGGAGTGATGCCCCCTGGAGAGAGCTCTGAGATACCCCGTTTCCTTGCAATCCTCCAGCTCTAGGCTTCTCAGGTGCCCGCCCAGCGACCAAGGCTGTGGGGCTGGGGCCTTGACACCCAGGGGCAGGGTTCTCCTGGTCGGGGCCAGCTATGCAGGGCCCTGGCCTGAGCAGACCCTGCCTCATCGCTGGGGGTCAGAGGGAGAACGTTTGGGACAAAGATTGGCGTCGTCGGAAATGCTCTTGACATTTACAGGATCGCCTGGTAGTGGCTGCTGCCTGCGGGAAGGCCGGCGGGGGGAGGCTGCCCACCCCCCGCCCCCCACGCTTCCTGCTCCCGACTTCCTACTGTGGCTGCTTGTCCTGCCCTCTTCCCTCCCTCCTCTCCTTTGCTAACACACCCTGCTACATTTTACACGTGTTGGTAGGTGAGAAACAAAACACGAACAATAAACCTAAATGCAGAAACACGTTGTGCCCGCTGGGTGTTCACCGAGCCGGGCGCAGCTTCGTGTCTGTGGAACGTTGTCCGGGTCGCTCTCGACGCAAGGAACTGAGTCTCCAGCCCACGCCCTGTGCTCCGCGCCCAGCCCTTCCCTGCAGCTGGAGGCCCTTGGCTGGGATGGACTTCCTCAGTGTCCCTCGTGGGAAGGTGGGGACAGGTAGACACTTGAGGGGGCCGTCCTGGCACCTCCTGAGGACAAGCTTTGAATCAATCCCTCCCAATTTAACACCTTGCTGGCCCATCACGAGATAACTCGTGTCTGCACTTACATTAATTTAAGTAATTTTAAANACCCGTCACGAGATAACTCGTGTCTGCACTTACATTAAGTAATTTTAAACGCCTTGCTGACCGGTCAGGAGGGAAAAGTAGCCTGAAGCACGGCGAGCTCTGGCTCAAGATAGCGGGTCAGCAAGGGGCTGGATACAATTTCCGCATCACTGTTAGGTGTCTGTACCGTTCGGGGAGGCATATGAAAATGTGTTCATGAGACGGAGTTCACCCGAGGTGCCATCTGCCTGGGCTCTGCTCTACCGTCCGTGGTGCATGTGGGCGGGGGGAGGCTGTCAGCCCCCCCAGTCATTGTCATGAGCCTTCCTGTGGCTCACCAGGGTCACAGGGACAGGGGAGGTATGAAGCCTCTGGGTGCATGGGGGACTCTGAGGTCCAGGACATCTCTGTTGGAGGCACCCCGCCTCTGCTGCCTGCCGGGGCTGGCCCACTAACTGGACAGAGCTCATTCCCACTCGGCTCTCAGCTGTCTCCTCCTACAGGAAGCCTTCCTGGGCTCCTCCTGGGCTCTCACATGGGGGGGCTATCAAGGAGCCTGGCACAGAGGGGTGATGACTGATGTCCCCACCCAGCCCCCATGTGCCCAGCATGGGGAGACAGCAGAAGTGCTGTCCTTAAAGATCCACCCAGAGCTAGACAGAAGTTAAAGCGGTAAAAGCATTTTATTCCAGGCCTGATGCAATAGGGGAAAGAGACCTCAGAATAGAAGCGGACCCAGTTCTGAATTCGGCAAGGACGAGCGGGGTTTACAGCCGAGGGACAGGGTGTGTGTGTGGGGGGGGGGAGCTGGTGGATGGAAAATTACTAAGAAGAGAAACATCAGCAGTCGGGGGGATTCTGGTTAGACAGGATTCTTGCTGAAGGTAGGCTGGGGTGATCAGTCACCATTGGGGGGAGGATGGTGGGGTGGGCACTTGGGTCATATATGAAAGGTAATCAGATACCTGGGGTGGGGATTCTGGCTGAACTGACTGGACAGGATTTTTGGTAAAACTGGGTGATGAAAAGGCAGATATGGAAGCCCAAAAGCGGGGGCCTAACTGAGATGAGGTTCAGACTAAAAATTTGGTCAAGCTGAGAATCTGTCGCCGCCTCCCCTCCCCTCATGCCTCCTGTCTGTGGTCCAGACCCTGCCCCTGCCTGGTTCTCTCTGCTTTATTGCAGGGCCTGGACTTGACCCTCTGTCCCTGTCTGGTGGACACTTCTGACATCTGTCTGCACCTCCTTTCTGCCCCCTGGCAACCCCAGCCTCGCCCTCTCCCCAGCCCCAGGTGACCAGCCTCCCCCAGCCTGCCCTGCACTGCTGGGCGGGAGTCAGGATGGACTCAGGGCTGGGCAGCTGCGAGCACCTTCGAGGGGGATGGGGCACGGAGCTCCCTCTGGAAGGGTGATGGGCAGAGCCCTTCACAGTGGTGTCAAGGCTCACAGAACCAGGGCGTGATCGGGTTGCCCCAAACAATTCCCATGCCCACAGCTTAACTCTGTCACCTTGCGCTATGGGCTGAATTCTCTGTTCACCTCAAATTCACATGCTGAAACCCTGACCTCCAGCGTGATGGTATTGGGAGGCGGAGTCCTGAGGGTGCAGCCCTGCGGACAGGATGAGTGTCCTTATGGAAGTGCCCTTGCCCTCTCCACTGTACAAGGACACAGCAGGAAGGTGCCAGCTACAGGCTAGAAAGTGGTCCTCACCAGACATCGAATCTGCCTACACCTTGATCTCGGACTTCCAGCCTCCAGAACTGTAAGAAATAAATGTTTGTTGTTTAAGCTGCCCAGTCTACGGTATCTGTGCTATACCAGCCCGAAGAGAGTAATGTTGTCATCTTGAAACCTTGTCACTTTCCATCTCAACAGCCTTTGGACAGCTCCCTGCCATTTACCTGGACCCCTGCCTGATGCCTTTGGTGGCTGCTTGTTGACAAGGGAGTCCCCACCAAGGTGTGAGTTTCCAACCATGGGATGGCCCTGGCCCCTCAGACTTGCCCCAAACACTCCACCTCCAGGCTCTTGCTCAGGGCAGGTCTCCCCCACCCTACTGCGTGCCTGGGA